TGCTGCCAAAGTTTATAACATCATCTGTGGGCCATACAAAACTATCAACTTAAAAATTAGCCTGCTATATTTGGTCATTTAATTGTTGTTGTTATTGTTAGGTGCCATCGATGGGTACCAATTCACATCAACCCGATTCACAATAGAACAAAACACTGCCCAGTCATGGGCCAACCTCCCAATTGTCACACCTGAGCCCACTGACGCTGCCACTTTGTCAATCCATCTCACTAGGGGTCTTCCTGTTTTTCTCTGACCCTCCACCCTACCAAACACGATATCCCTCTCCAGCAACTGGTCCCCCCTGACAATATGTCCAAAGTATGACAAAGTTTGGCCATCCTGGCCTCCAAGGAGCACTCTGGCTGTACATTTTCCAACACAGATCTGTTGGTTCTTTTGGCAGCCCATGGCACTTTCAATATTCTCCTGCAATACTGTAACTCAGATGCGTCAATTCTTCTACGATCGTCCTGGTATGGTGCTATAGGATAGGTACATGACCTCAAGGTCGGTTTAAACTGCAAGGTCAGTGGTTCAAACTCACCAGTCACTCCTAGGAAACCCTATGCAGGGTCGCTATGAGTTAGAATAGACTTCGATGACACACAACAATGTGATGGCTGGCATCCTGGTGTGGCACTGTGGATTAATGCACTGGACTGCAAAGTCAGTTTGAACCATAAGGTCGGTGGTTCAAATTTACCAGTCACTCCTTGGAAACCCTATATAGTGTTGCTATGAGTCGGAGCTGACTCGACAGCAATTAACAACAACAAAATGTGACAGCTCAAACTGTGGTTGCCTTAGCAGGGCCAAGACCAAATGATTTCAGACCAGACGTTCTCCACGCCTGCTCTATACACTGCTGTCCTTTATGCCCGATGGGAAACATGGTCACCAAAGTCAAGGACAGTGGAGTCCAGGCCAGTGATGGCTACAGCTTTATCTTATGCATTCATAGAGAGTTCACCATTTACTGTGCTGCGAGTACCCACGCCACACTAAATTACTCAAAAGAATGCCTGAACACTGTAATCACAGACATTCCTTGATTAATAAGATAGATGAAATGTTATTCCCTAGGATAGTTTGCAAAAAAAAAAAAAAATTGAGGTTTTCAATTCTGATGACTTCCAAATGCTAGAAAAGGTACTAGTATAAAATCATGATATCAAGAAGACTGGGGGGAAAAAAAAAATGTGTGTTTGAATTACAGCACTGGCCAAGAATACTGAGGACACTGTGGACTACCAGAACATATGTGTTGGAAGTACAGCCAGAGTGCTCTTTAGAAGTCAGGATGGCGAGACTTTGTCTCACTTACTTTTGGACACATTATTAGGAGAAGGACCGCATGCTTGGTATATAGTAGAAGGTCAGCGAAAAAGAGTAAGACCTTCAGTGAGATGCAACATAGCAATGGTTGTGAGGATGATGCAGGACTGGGCAGTGTTCTCTTGTCCGTGTGGTCACTGAGTCATGACTGATTCACCAGCACCCAACAACATGAAGTTAATAGAAGACGAGTTAGAATTTGGTTGATCCCTTTCTAACTTTAAACATTAGCTCAATATATATGTATAGCTTTCCCTTTGAATTGCTTTGGCTAAGTTTCTCTGAGTTTAAACAAAATTAACAAAGATGCTATGCTGAGTCTCAGTGTTTCCAATTATAACTGGCACATTCTCTATACTTTCTTCTCTCTTCATTCCTACCTCCCTTTTTCCTACCCACTCATCAATAACTCCACAGCATATAAATACTGTAAATGCCTGGGTGACCCAAATGGTTAAGCGTTGTACTAGTAACTGAAAGGCTGGTGACTGAAACACACCAGAGGTACCTGGGAAGACAAGCCTATCCATCTGAAAACCCTATAGCGCACTTCCCAGTCTGTGCACATGGGGTCCCTATGGGTTGTAATCAACGGCAACAAGCTATTGATTGTGGTACTGTAGGATCAGCACTGGACTGCTAACCACAAGGTTGGTGGTTCAAACCCACCATCTGCTCCTTGGAAACCCTATACAGGGTTGCTATGAGTCAGAACTGACTTGATGCCATTTCGCAACAAGCACTTTAGAAAGTGGTTTCCCATAAACAGTCCCTCGGTTCACCACTCTGCTATCGTGAACTGAACACTTCTGAGTCAGGGGCCATGATACAGGCTGGGTGAAGAGGGAAGCGATGGCTGCAAGGATGAAAAGCAGATCTGGTTTTCAAGAAGCTACGTCTAGGGAGGATTCAGATGGGGAAAGAAAAATCTTGCAGGTTTCACAGCTAGATTGGTGAGGAGGCCAGACAGCACATATTCTGTTCCTTGTTTTAAAGACGAGGAAGCAGAGGCTCTGAGACGTTAAACTGATGTTTTCTTGGCAAGTCTGTTCTCTTGGCAAGTCTGTAGACAGAGGAGCTGGTGCAAGCTGTGGATGTGGGGCTGCTGTCTCTGTTGTTGAGAATTACGAATGCTGCCTGCACCTCTCCTCTTTCTCTTGCTCCTTCCCAAGGTGCTAAGAGGAGCCACTCACAGTTTCTCAGGGCTGGGGTGGAGCCCTCATCCCGACAGAGGACCAGCATGGGGTCAAGGAGCACCACCTGGACTTGAATGAGCCTGGGTCTTCCTGGTGGGGCACTAGGAAAGCACTCAGCTGCTAATGTAAAAGTTGATGGTTCGAACCCAACAACTGCTCCTCAGGCAAAAGATGTGGCAGTCTGCTTCTGTAAAGGTGACAGCTTTGACAGTCCTATGGGGCAGTTCACCACTATACTACAGGGTGGCTCCAGGTCAAAATCAACTTGACAGCAATGGGTTTGGGTTTGGGCTCTCCAGAGAGCTGCCCCATCCTTTCCCCTCAGACCATGACACTATGCCCTGGTACACAAACACCCTCTCCCATGACCCTCGTCGCAGGGGCCAGTGGGCCCACTGCACGTTTCACTGTGCAGACTCTCTACGTATGCCGTGGAACTGGGACACACTGTTTTTCAGGGGTGGCAGGGCGACGTCATTCTTACCACAGGTTCATGACAACAACAAAAAAGCTACCAAACATGGACTATTTGAAAATTAAGAGGATTTTATTGACTTTTATATGTTCTTGCAGAAAACCATCCACATGTAAAAGTTGGACATTTGATATAAGATTTATTCACACTGTGTTTTGCACATAAATTCTTCAACTTGAGGCAGGGGGAGGGGGCAGACATAATTTTTTCATTTCAACAGGACTTTCACATGATCACAGACACAAAACTGGCATACTTCATTGAAAAACGAAATCAGACGGAGCTACACAAGAGTATGCTGCTGGATGCCAATTTAAATCTCCACATGCACCAGCCCCTGGCCCAGGGTCTGGGGAGTATCCTCTCGGAACGTTTATTAAAATACCAACTGGAGGATGTCTGAGATCACAAATGATTGCTTACAAAATAAAACCTCTTCGCCTACTTTGTTTCATTGTAGAAAAATATTAACAAATAAAAATTAGTGCTTATTCAAGGTATTCATTCCCAAATCACAGATGACACCAAGGGTCAAGTCGGATCCCCCCTCATATAGACATCATGATGCACTAGATGAAATTTGAACTAATGATTCCAACGATGGGCCTTGTTGACCACCACCAGCTTCTGAATGACATCTTGTTTTTTTAGTCTGGCAACCGAAGACATATGTGAGCGAATTCTCCCTTTTACTTAATTTCTTCCTATTCAGAAACACTCTTAGGGAGACGTGGGTGAGGGAAATCAGTTATTTCTTCCTGATACAAAAAAATGTGTCTAAACTCTGTAATTATAAAACAGATTTGCTTTTCATAAAGAAATGCTAATTTTTTTTTCTCTCCATATATGTAGTTGTTGTTATGTGTCATGGAGTCGGTTCCGACTCATAGCG